CATTGGTCGGATACCATCAGCAACGAATATCCTACTGTGGGAGATGATAAACCGGTTTCGATCTGAAGAGGAAATGAGGAAAAGACTGTGGGAGTGGATAGGACATACATTAGGAAAATCATCAAACTGCATCACGAGACATGTGGTAACTTGTGATGGTAAAGGGAAACGGCAAGGAGAAAGGTGATAGAACACACTGCACCGAGAATTGTAAGCAGACATGAAAAGGATGAATGTTAACTGGAGAGAAGTGGTAAGGATTGTCCATGACAGAGTTGGATCGAGAATGCTGTTGAGTTGCATATACTCCTCCATTAGGGGTAACAGGCCTAAGTAATATATATATATATCATTGTGAACACGTGATCAAATCGGAAACCGTTAAATATCATTTTGAAAGTCTTATAAGTATGTCTAAAACTGGACGATTTTACTGGAATTAAGATAACAAAGATAGCAACTGATAACCAGACGCTGTAATAAGACGAATTCGAAACCTACAGAATCGTGAAAGATTCAAACACGTGTAACTCAGAGCTGAGCGTCAGACCGGATGAAATTATTCATCTATGCAGTGAGTAACTGGTATTTGGTGTCAAAAATTTGATTAATAAATATTGTTTTGTATAATGTTGTGGCAAAGCGTTCAAAATCTTAAGTTAATGAATATCCCCTTGCTTTCTTATACAGTGCGGGGGTAAAACTAGTATCACTATAAAAATTTACGTGTGTGAATCGTAATATCGTTATCATGTGCAACATATAAATATAGGTCTGAAAAATCCGTTCGTAACCGCTATCTTAACAAGGCAGTGAAACTTGTCTATGGTGAGAACTATCCCAAGATATATCATCTTTAAAGTTCAGCAAGATAGATCACTTGAAACGAGTCGTAAGACTTAAATGCAGCATTTAAATCGTGTACAACGATTGAAGGCCTTAAGTAAAATGGATTAAAATCAGACGCAATTGCAATGTCGAATTCAATTTGTCTCCTTTCACGGATCAAGTACTTCTTTTTTTTTCTAAACCATACTTTCTATGCATAATCTTTTTTATTATAAACAACAACAACAATTATTATTATTTGACTATTTCGAATCTAACGCTGCTTACGGCTAACCGGCTAAAAGGTTAAAAGATTAAATCATTTATCAAGTAAAATCACATTTTGTTCATTTGTTTCTAATTTAATATTTATTATGATTATTTTTTAACTTAATGGGAGAATACGTATGCAAGTGTTGCATCTACACTCTAAAACAACAGTGGTAGTATCCATAATCTGAAATCAAAATCGTCATAGTTTGTATATTTGGAAGTATTAGAGTCATACTATATGAAATTGAAGCTAATATATTCTTAACGTACATTAGTAAGACTGAACAAACCAATTAAAAGAGTTATCGCAATATATTTACTTCAAGTCATCTAATCACATGGAAAATAAGAATGCTTATTATGAATACTAGCGAATATTTCGGTTGCAACCATGTTGTAAACTTGCAATGATAAAAAATTATAAAGTGGAGTGGAAAGATCTTGATAAGGATGACGATACTACCCAGACACCATAACTTCGAACAGTAATTATTCAGTTTTCTAAATAATACCTATTAATAATAAAAATAATTAACAATAAATTGTCGCTGAGATGTCCAGACACTTGATTCATCAAACAAACTTTTGAATTTCACTTCATCTAGTGAAACTAAGGGACCTAGATATTATGCTCATCCATAAACACTATACATAGTTTACAGCTTGCTACGTGTAACTAGAACTAAGGAGTGATACGATATGAATATTTGTGTAATATGACTAAAATAACAGTATCATCTAAAAGTACCAATAAAATGGTGTAAACCAGTATATCAACGATCATGGAATATGTATACATATATATAAATAAGAATAGAGAATAAATAAATAAGATTTGAGAATGGTAATTTTGGGGTCCATTTATGAACCAATACTATGCATATATTAAATAGGAATAATATATTTGTAAAATCTCAGCGAATGAATTTTTAAATTAAATCCAACGTTTCGCCTGGCAATCTGGTCCAAGCTTTTTCAAGGAATTATAATCAAACATCAAAATTATCGAATATAAATAAATTTTACAAATATATTATTCCTATTTAATGTCTTACTTCAACTCGGCGCTCAAATACTGTGAAACTATTCGTTCTAATTTAGACGAGAGTTCTTATATACTATGCATATATTTTTTATCGTATAATTGCTAAATAACTGAACCATTCATATTTATGTCCCCCTTATTATAAGCTTTATTTCGACTTATGAACTATTGTCATACGATTTACAGTTCTTGAATTATGCCCTGTCTATCACTTACTATCTCCCTTATTCACAGCCACATTTAGCTGAATCTTGTACAAATGTTATTTTCTATCTTGAAGTACGATGTGTTCAGTTTGATTGGCATATAAACTCAGTATGTTTGAAGTATAATGATTTATACGGCAGAGACTGTTATTGGTGTTCTGAACTTAACTGGCTGGGCTAGTCGGAAAGCAGGATCGACAGGTACTCTAAACTGCTTGTATTGTTTTCGTGTATCATTGGTCCGATCGATAATTCACTGCTCTCTGATTAGCGGTATTATCACGTTATACGTCAACAGGGCATCCAGGCAGGCCACAAGTTGTAACAGTATATATCGAAGTATGTGCCGACGTGGGATCAGTCCTGAAACATCATCTTAGGTTCAGTAGATACGACAATCATTTCAGAAATTATCACACTTAAGCACAAGTCACTTAGAAGACTCCATACTTTTCATTAAAGTCTTCGTTTAAAAGGACGAATACATCCCGATATTTTAATTTCAACACAGAATCTCTATGCAGGGAAAAGATTTCATGAAGATCAAAGGTTATCAATCTCACATATTCTAACATGTCTACGATAAAGTCGGGGAGGAAGAATGACAATCTACAACGCAGACAAACAATGTCTAAGCAGCTCCTTCAACGCAGTGGTCAGTTGTGAACAACTGAGCAGTATTAGTTGGAATATTTATTCCTTTAGATTTTACCAAAACATGCAGGTAGCATAAAAGGCGGTAAAATGAAAAGTATTATTTATTATTAATGGCTTTATTCAATATAATATTTTTGTACATTATAGAATTCTCAGCACGAGGTGTTTCAACAAGTTTCTTTTACAAAAACAACAAAAAAGAGAGGAAAAAGGTGAAACAATATCTGAATCTGTACAACTTTTCAATTAGAGACATGTTTAAGAATACAAGCTATTGACTAGGTCAACTCCAACAACCTGTTCGTCACAGAGTATATTTGCTAGGAAAGGTATTATAGGACTTTTATATCTTTGCTTGAGTGCATGGATATCAATGTATTTACGTCTTGTTCTACCAGAATATATACAAAGAGAAAGATATGAGTGAAATGGATGGCTAGATAACACCTGCCAGGAGTTTGCAAGACATTAGATATCTATCCACAACAATATTAATAATGACCTCAAAAGATTCACCACACACCCTACTAACTGCCTTCAGCACTTTCCACAATACACCAGTCTTTTCTCAAAAGCCATGGAAAGAATAATGGAGAGCAGTAAAGAATAATAGGTAATATGCAGGAATTGACAAATTCCAAGAGTAAATGTCGAGTAATCCCAAAAACGTGCAGCCTCTTTATGTAGTAAGTCAGACGGAAAACTTTCTTCGATTACAGTAAAACATGAAAAGACCAAGAGAGATCAGAGGAAAAGGTAACACCAAGATAATTGACCTTCGACACTGTGTTTATCAAAGAGTCTCCAATGACACAAGCATTATGGGGTCCTAAAATAGTGTATAGGTGCTGTCCATGTATCGGGATAAAGTTAACAGCTTAACATTTACATGGATTAAGTATGGGACCATTACCAGCAGACCACCATTCAATACGAAACAAAAACTCATTCATTTCTATGGGATGTAAAGAGGCAGAAATCGGCATACATACGGTGAAATCGTTCGCATATTTCACAAAAATGTTTTCTGTGGAAGATGGAAGATCATGCAGAAAAAAAGAGAAAAGGAGAGGTGGGAGAACAGCTCCTTGTGGCACACCTTCATTACACAGTAGAAACGTTGAACACTTTCTTCCAAACACAGTGTACTGTTCTCTTTTAGAGAGGTGGGAGCATAGCCATTTATTTATCCAGCTGTCAGTGTTGACGCTGATTAACTTAAGAAAAAGTTGTCTTGGGATAGAATCAAAAGCAGAAGTATAGTTCAGAAAAGCGCATCGAACATACTTCTTACCCTTTTCCAAGCCGAACACTATATTGTGATGCAGAACCGCGACGGCATCTAAGGTGCTTCTTTTGCATTTGTTAGCAAACTGATAAGGATCACTGTGCTCTTTTATTGAAGGTTGAAGTGGGAGTACGACTGTGTTGGGGATGTTAAATCCCCAGAACTCACTAGGTAAATGACTTATTTTTGTCATTTTATTTTGAAAATTTGAATTTCTTTGTTTGCGCACCAAAAGCGCTCTTTTAACTTTCATGTCGTATTTCCAACTTGGGAAAATCTTAGACGCTATCGGTTCGTTGTATCTTATAATACGGTATTTTGTAATGCTTCCCAAGGAAAATTTTATGCTGTATATATTCGTTTGATTTGTTGTTGCGATTGCTTGTGCTTCTGGCTGCTTACGGAATATATCTTCCGCACTTCCAACTTGGACTTCTCACTCTAGTTATCGGGCCTGGGGCGCGTCAGTATAGATAGCTATTCGGTCTCTCCGTTCGCAGTCTAAGTGAACTCGTAACCGCTCCAACCATAACAGATTGTTAATGTCCTACACTTTTATTTAATTTTGGATTTGAATCTACAAGGCGATGACTAGGATTCAAGTATGCACACAAATAAGAAATAAACCTCGTTGATAGATATGTTAGAGAATAAAATCATAAAATTATTGCCGTCAATATCATTACCAAGCCTGTTAACTTACCCATAGAAAGCCAATACGGAACACGAAAACTGGCAGAAAGGACTTGATTTTTCAAATGGGGAAGAGATTGAGCATCGAATGGAAGAGCACCACACACCATGACGTAAAGAATAACACCTAAACTCTAAAGTTGAATGAGGCAAAAGTTTACAAGTTAGGTTAGATTATGAAAGTATTATATAGAGAACAATTCCTCATCTCACAAATCGTAAATTTTAGTCAAGAATAATCTGCTGTGATTATGAAATGAACAAATGAAGATAGAGCTAAAGGAGAGTAACGCATACTAACGGAAGAATGAACAATTTGAAATGATTAGTTACAATAGTCCACGATCAATTAACAAGACATTGTTTATTTGTCGGCCATTCATTCTAGTAATGAACAGCTTATTAACGCTCCATAATTCAAATTATAACAGAGTACTACTATAAGTAACTGATATGCTTGAACTAAATCTATTCCGCGGTAATGAACGAAAGCCAATGACACAACGACACGATAAGCTATTCTAATCTGTTGTCCCAGGCCCAGCTAACTAGATGAAGAAGTCCAAGGCAAGTAGGGGAATATATAAGTATTCCGTAAGCAGCCGAGTACAAGCAATCGAATAAGGGAAAAAGTCAAGCGCATTTATACAGCAACAATTTGTCCTTGAGCATCATTAGTAAATAGCACATACAAAGAAACAATGAACCAATAGCGTCTAAGATAGTTTACAAGTGGGAAATATGACGTGAAGGTAAAAAGAGCGCGTTTGGCGCGAAAACAGCTTAATCTAAATTTTCAAAATAAAATTACAAAACTAAGCCATTTACCAAGTAAGTTCTGGGGATTTGACATCCCCAACAGTAACTTAATAAGAGTAAAGCTATGTTTACGTGGTATAAGACTGTGGATTTACAGAAAACATGGTAAAATTTTCACACATCCAGGAAGTAAATAAGACATTAGTCCATAAACATAAGAATATGGCTCAAAAGCAAAGTGTATTACACTATTTCATGTTATTGTCGACCAGCATTCTATTGGCAAGTATACAGTCAAAATCGTGTTTATATCATAAGTCGACAAGTAGCTCACCGCAATTCATTACCAAATACATAATTTTTACGTAGCTTTGATCTAAGTCTTGTGTGAGGGCTAATAATATTAACCAGCCACCCAATTCAACGTAGGTAGAACAGGATATTAAATCCAAGTACTTCAACTACTGAGCCAATACTCTACCTACTTCATCGGATCCTGGTCAAATATTGTACTATTTCTAGTTATTTGTCAGTAATTACCGAAATTTGACAATAGTTACTTATAGCAGTTTCCTCAAACTAAGTTGTTGCCACTATTAGCATATCTCAAATACTGACTGAACTGATGCAAAAATTTGTGACTTGATCTGCTACTTTTACAACAGAATTAAGTTCAATCAGTTAGTCATAAGCATTATTATTAATTCAATAGTAGGTATACGGTCGTGTACCTGGCTTCAAGCCACTCAAATTATGAGAGCTAATGGCACTACCCGGATGTCCAAACTGAAGTAAGAGGAGCGAGGTTTGTACCTTTGCGACTTAGTGACTGAAAGTCAAACGCCTTAACCGACACTTGATACATACACGTGATACATATGTGTATCAGTCCAAATTACAACACCACATCAGCACAGAAATTGAATTATCAAGATGAATACTAAAGTATTAGAAATGTCAGTGAAAATTTAAACACTAGGGATGGAAAATGTGAATTGAGAAGGATGAATGAATTCACATATCGGAACATAGCTTATTCCGGCAGGTAATTACCTCATGGACTGATGCTAAGTCTTGGTTTAGTACTGACAAGCTTTCTTCTAGCCTATTCCTACACCTAAACTTAACATTGTCTATTTAGTGGTATCACCATAAAAACGAACCGATGTTCAAATACATTTGGCCTTTTGTCACAAAACCTTAGTGATCTTTACAAGACATCCAAACAGTGTTTATAATGGACTATCAAACTACAAAAGGTTTATGTCCCGAACGAGAGAAAAAAACAATTATTTGAAATCGATATCTCAACAATAAACATAGACAACTGAGACCGTCGTTTTGTACTAGTTGGTACTATAACATTTTTAATATATATCTTTCCTGAGTTGATACATTAGATGTTCAACAAAAAATGAACGTGTGACTTTCTAATTCTTAAAAAACCAAAAATATAAGGCTCATTGTAACCAATTTTTAATGAGCTTATACGAATTGGATAGTAATCAGATCAACCACTTTTGTTTCCGAATACTTATTTCAGTCAAAATTTAAGTTCAAAGGATCATAAAATCTGCATCATTTGACAATTGCTTCTACTCTGGTCACAACAAAACTAGTTATTGTTAATTTTACCATTATTATTATACAGTGACGACTGAATTTTAGATACTTAATTAAATATTATTTATTTTAACTAAAAATAAAACAAATTACAGATTCATAAGATTGAAATAAGATTACGACTTGCTTTTCTTAATCCAAAGGTAATGAGATACTTAAATTACCAAAACGTCTACACACTCGATATAAATCTTAATAGACGAAGAGAAAAAGCCTGGGATAACTGTTATTAAATAAGCAACACCTACCCAGATATCTGCTTTCACTCCAATGTATGGTTCGCCTAAAAATATCTCTGGTGCAGCATACGGAGGACTACCACACCACGTAGTTAAAAGGTGATTAGGTGAGTTGAAATGTGTGCCGAAGCTAAAATCTAGAATAAAAATAGTTAAAAATCTGAACGTGAAAAACTAGAATAATTATTTGTGACATACATAAAAACTTGAATTTTAAGTTTATTTGCCTTTTTTATCCATTGAAATGAAGTTGTAGTGTGTATAAACAAATGATTCAATTTATTAAACTAAACGCAAACTCCGCCACACATTTAAACTGAACAAAGAAAACAAAGAAAGACAATGAATCGGAAAATACTTATGCATCTTACTTTAAGGTTCTCCTTTAATGGCATAAAATTGTTACTTATATGAATAATGTTTCGTTCATTGAGTTAGATTCTAAAATTTCGTATAATATTCTCTAAATTGGTTATACCCGTACCTAATAAGTTTAATCGTCCTATAAATCAATTTTCTGATCACATCTAGTGGATACATAGTAACCATTTGTCTGAATTATATTTTACATTTGAATTCTAGGTGAGTGCACTTATTTATTTTTTTTATTAAACTCTAAACATCAATTTTACATTCCAACGAGATCTTACGCCAAGTGTCACAGGTTAAAATAAAATGGAATTTCCATCCAAATTAAAATTAATGTAACCCAATATATATATATTCGCACACTGGGCTTCAAAACAGGATTTATGTGTGTTTGCTAGGCACTCTGTCTTCAAAAATAGAAACGTCAATTAGTTAAGACCAAAGAGGGATTCGGACTCATAAACAGATGCTAGAAAGCTAATCATGGAAGTCATAGCTTTCCCGTCAATGAAAAAACTTTTATCTTATCATTTTCACGTACTTCTATGATGCATAATTGTGTTGATTGAAAAACGCGATATCGTTTTACGTTCTTCTGTATACAGAAAAACATAAACGCATTAGCAACTTTCAAAAAATATGGGGATGACAAGTGTTGTGTAAGAAATGAAAAAGTACATTTGAAGGTCATATTGTATTTTTTTATTAAGACCCATCTTTTTTGTTTATACACAACCAAAGTTAGAACTAACGACCTGTCGGACCCCCAGCACGGACGTCGTGTTCTTGATTGACACACTAGACTTCTATAGTCACTAATATAAATATCTACTTAGTACAATCGTATAAAAACTAACAACAATAATTAGAAACGTAATCCCTGATTTACGTTTTCATGTATATTTGGAATATATTATGGTTTCATGTAAGGCTGTGATAAAATTTTACTAATCACCATACCTTATTTTTTAGTGCTGTCAGCCAGTCACAACCTAGAACCTGTACATATGTACAGGTTGAAAAAATTAATCTTTAAGACTTTATGCAAAATTAGTGGTGTTGGACAAATGGCTTCCATTTTTAAAAATAAACAGAGTTTACAACAAATCAACGTTGCACCAATCAGCCAAAACTCAAATGATTATTAATTAGTATACTATATCTTAAGACACATAAACAGCTCTAGAAACTGCTTGAAAAATTTCATAAAAAAACCAATATATTTAGTAATATTTACCCGCTAATTTGATATTCATTTCTGAATCTAGCAATATGTTTTCAGCCTTTAGATCTCGATGTACAATACCACAAGAGTGAGTGTAATCGACAGCCGAAAGTACATCCAGGAATTTGATCCGAGCATCGACCTCAGAAAATCTTCCATTCGTGGCTATGTAGTCTATAAAGAACACAATATTCAGACTTAGAAACATGAAAATCGGTGCTATTGGTGAAAGTGGACTATCCACCGATAACTAAAGCTTCCAAGTGAATTATCTGTATTTCAATGGTTACAATAACAGAACTTGGAGTGTTCGTGAGTTGCAATGAAGTCTAAATAGGAGTACCTAAGGAGCGTCAACATACGCAATGTGTGTAACTATTAAGAAAAACAAAATCGAACAACGACTATTTAGTGACAAGCAAAAAGTACTATTTTTATTGGCGACAAAAAGTTGAACTCATTAGCACCATCAGTATTGATTTACTAGGTAAAGCCATATATACGAGCGAGGGTTAGACATAATTACTTCAATAAGTCTATTTCTCTCGGGAAGGAGAACAGGCCACTCACAAGCATTCTCGATCCAACTCTGTCATGGACAATCCTTACCACTTCTCTCCAGTTAACATTCATCCTTTTCATGTCTGCTTACAATTCTCGGTGCAGTGTGTTCTATCACCTTTCTCCTTGCCGTTTCCCTTTACCATCACAAGTTACCACATGTCTCGTGATGCAGTTTGATGATTTTCCTAATGTATGTCCTATCCACTCCCACAGTCTTTTCCTCATTTCCTCTTCAGATCGAAACCGGTTTATCATCTCCCACAGTAGGATATTCGTTGCTGATGGTATCCGACCAATGGACATTGAGTATCTTGTGTAGACAATTGTTTATAAATGCTTGTACCATTTTGATGATGGTTGTAATAGTTGTGGAAGTTTCAGCTCCACATAGTAGAACTGATTATCTTGACGTTCGTACTGATTATTCTCACTTTGATATTGGTTGAGAGACAGTTGTTTTGAGTTGTATATGCTGTTCAATTGTAGGAATGCTGTTGTTGCTTTGCCAACCCTCACCTTGATGTCTGCACCGGATCCTTTTTGTTCATCGATGATGCTGACCAGTCAGTCAGGTACGTGGAAGTTTCCACCTGTTCCAACATAGTTCCTCCATCAAGTGTGATTGGTTCGTTTGGTGTTCTCCGTGTTGTGTTTGAGGATGTTGGTGTCTCTCTTGTCGATGTTGAAGTCTAGTGCAGCAGAGACCACTACTTCACTAGCTGTTTTGATCTGTATTTGTTCGTGAGTATGGGATAGAAGGGCTTCGACTGGTATGTTGTATATTGTCAGGTCTTACTGCTTTCCCACGAAATTTTATTCAAAATAACAAGTGTAGGTGAACAGCAATCACTGGTTAGAAAAAAGTTCATATAATTATAGTATGTGCATAAGAAGCTTCTAGATGCTTGTTCAATAATCTACCAGATCTGATTGTTTTATAATTAGCCAGTCAGCGTGCGCGGTCACGATCATGCACATAACATGCCTTAATCCGGTTTATTTCCCGTTAACAACTGGTATATTGTCAGGTCTTACTGCTTTCCCACTGTTGATTTGTCTGATGGTCACAATTGATTTCTTCGATAGTTGGTGGAGTGACATGTATAGGAATGTCTGTGTGTGTTGCTTCGATATCTCGTGGATTCAATGGAGCTGGTCTATTCGAGAGTCCCTCGAAGTATTCTGCCCATCTGTTCCTCTGTTCTTGAATATCAGTGATTGTCTTGCCTTCTTTGTCCTTGACTAGTTTCTCTGATTTACTATATTTGCCTACCAGTTTCTCCGTCATGTCATATAGTTGTTTTATATTTTCTTCTGTTGCAGCTTTCTCTACTGCCGTCGCTAGGTCTTCCACATAATTATGCTTGTCAGCTGTAATTCCCCTCTTCACTTGCTTGTTTGCTTCTGTGTATCCAACTTGTGCCTTGAATTCCTCTGCTCGTTTTCGACTGTTGTTAATTTCTATCTTCTTGTTCTTCTTCCTTTGTTGAATCCGAAACAGGGTTTCCATAGAGATGCATTCCTTATGATGTTTGCTGCAACGCAGAACCCCTGACACTGAAGTTAATGCTTCTCTGATCCATTTCCAGTTGTTCCCTATGATAGTTTATTCTTCTTTGAGTAGATTATGTAAGGGTTGGAACCTGTTGTTGAGTGCTATGTTGAATTCGTTGATTTAATCAGTGTGTGAAAGGAAGTCTGTATCAAACCTTTGTAATGCTGTTTGTCCATTGCTTCTTTAGCTTCAGTCTGATCTTGAAAACCATATCGTGGTGGTGATCTGAAGTTACGTCACTTTGTCTCCTGGTTCTCACGTCTTCCATTGACCTTGTGAATTTGTTAGTGATGAAAGTACGATCTACATGATTCTCTGTAGACGAAGGTTAGAGCATGTGAGATAAGTTCAATTTATGATTAGGGACTATATGAAATGACTTGAACTGACATCTATTTCTGCGACGTTTCAAGTTGCTACTTTCCGTTACTTCTTATATATATTCACCAAACTTATTCGTTTACAACATTTAACTAAATTTTGTATTTTATCAAATCTAGCTTTTTCTATTGAGGTATCGCATTCCCACTCATCTGTTTTCAGTCTACACGGCGCTGTTTCCTATTGCTAGAAATACTTCAATGTGGACTGACAATTTGTGCAACATATTCCTTGATACAATGTGGTTGAAATCTAAGCATACTCAACTGTATGTGGGAGATGAGTTAAAAGTTAGTTAATCATCTCAGTGAATTTCGGTAGAATCTGAAAGATTAAAATATGCCTGATAGGACCTCACACTTGATTATTTCCATTTAATAAACCAAAGGAAAAACGAAATATAAGATATCAGGACAATGAGATGCCATGGTAAGTTTATTTATTTATTTAAACACATAAATATTGGTACAAGAAAGCACCAGATAAATATGCGCCACACAAATCTCATTTGATTTGTGTGAGGGCTGTGATACTGCTCAGGTGCCCAAACTGAACCAGGTGGTTTTCTTAGGTGGCCACACCCGGAGCCTTTGACCTGAAGGTCTAATCCAAAAGACAGTGGAGCATCGTCAGGAGATGCAGTCCCATGGTAGCCGGTCACCAACGATTAGTTCATACGCCATTTGTTCCTTCAGGATACTGGAGCCCATGTGCACTATTGGTTTGGAATCAGGGTTTTCCAACTCCCCTAGGTGGACTCGCCTTTTCCGCCAACCCGGTTAGAGCGCCAGACATTCGCTTTTCGTCCTCTCAATTTCGTAAACAACACCCCCGCCATGAGAAGGCAGTGAGTAAGACTTCCCTGGCAGAGGCTATATATTCGCTGGCCATGTGAGAGCATTTGGAGAGGGAGAGCGGACTCTCTCCACTCTCGGCCGTACCAGGGCATTTGGGGGTGCCATAAGAAGTAGTCTCTACTTTTAATGCTATTATTTAGTCTGGAAATCACATAACTACTTGAGACATATTATTATTTTAGCGCACATATACCTAGTAGTTTGGTTGTATTGGAAATGACATAAGGAAAAACATCTTTTGACATGGCGACCCCCAAATTCGTCCCAACGTTGGACCCAATTAGATCACATCGCTATCAGCCACCGATGGAGGGGCTCGATAGAAGACTGTCGCTCATTCTGGAGCACATGTTTAGATTCAAATCATGCTCTAGTGCGAGCACGTATCTGTCTGCGTCTTACTGGTCGTAGGAAAGACACTGCAGGGAAGCCTCTAAGGGTTCTACTTAATGATAGACAAGCTAAGAATATATTTCAGGAACAACTAGAAAAACAGTTAGGCAGCCATGTAAGTTGTATCCACCCCGAGGCAGCGTGGAATGACATCCGAAAAGCTGTGGAAACAGCAGTGATATCCGCTAATAAGGTAAACCATAACGTTAGGGAGAAACAATGGATCTCGGCAGCATCTACCGCACTGATAGATGCTCGAAAACTAATCCCACCTGGCTCCGAACATAACGAAGAGCGGAGTCAGCTTAAGCGAAGGCTAATAAGAAGCCTACGCAATGATCGTGAACAGTGGTCGGTAGCGAAAGCAAGAGAGATGGAAAAGGCAGCGGCAATAGGCAACCATTTAGACTCGTTAAAGAAACCGGTATTGGGAACCCGAATATCAGTGAAACCATCTCAGATAAAGATGGGCATATTATTCATTCTCAACCCAGGAGATTGGATCGATGGGCAGAACACTTTAGGGATCACTTCAACTGGCCTTCAGCCACACTTCAGTTACCCACGATCCCCAGTCGTCCTGAATAGCAAATTGAGGTAAGTCCTCCAACTCTCTACGAGGTTGAAAAAGCTATAGGAAATATGAAGTGAGGGAGAGCAGCAGGCCCTGACAGGTTGACCCCTGAGATTTTTAAGGATGGTGGTCCAGTACTAGCAGTGAGATTGACTGAGGTCTTAGGTAGAATCTGGGGACTGGATGTTATTCCATCTGATTAGTCTCAATCACTGATTGTGCCAGTCTATAAGAAAGGACAAAAGTCCTCTTGTGACAATCACAGTGGAATCAGTCTGATTAATATTGTGTCTAAAATATTAGCTTCAATAATACTTCGACGCCTAACCAAAGCTCATGAAGAGCAGACTAGAGAAAACCAGGCTGGTTTTTGACCTGGACGTGGTTGTATAGAACAGATATTTACTCTACGTCAGGTCCTAGAACATAGGCACACATTCAGATGCCCCACAATCGTTGTATTTTCCGAACTTAAATCGGCATTTGACTCTTCATCGTGAGGTTCTATGGCAGTGTTTATCACAGAAAGAAGTACCAAAGAAGTGCATTAATCTTATAAGGGCTCTCTACTTGAACACAACTGGTCGAGTTAGAGCCTATGGCGAACTGTCATCAGAACTGATTACCACAAGTGGCGTTCGTCAGGGCTGTCCACTCTCCCCATTCTTGTTTAACTTTGTCATTGACATACTTTTAGAGATAGCACTTTCATCATCTCAATCTCCTGGAGTTGAACTTTTACCAGGAGGCTCACTTGTTGACTTAGAATACGCCGACGACATAGTTTTACTCGGTGAAGATGCTGACAACATGCAGAGTCTTCTGACCACTGTAAGCAACTATGCAGGCATGTTCGGGATGCGATTCTCTCCCTCGAAGTGCAAAATGTTACTTCAGGATTGGTTGCAGCGACACCTGAACTAATGATAGGGAGTGAAGTAGTTGAGCGTGTTGACTGCTTCACTTATCTTGGGAGTCTCATCAGCCCTTGTGGTCTGGTATGTGACGAAATCTCAGCACGGATACAGAAGGCTCGTCTAGCTTTCGCCAACTTGCGTCATTTATGGCGTAGGCGAGATATCCGTCTAGCAACCAAAGGACGGGTTTACTGTGCAGCAGTTCGCTCCGTCCTACTTTATGGCAGTGAAACATGGCCAATAAGAGTGGAGGATATTCGTAGGCTACTAATGTTCGATCATAGGTGTCTTCGAAGCAGTGCTCGTATATCCTGGGACCACCGGGTAAGTAACGCGTGATTATCGTAACCAATGGTTGGAGACTCTAGGTGACATGGCTCAGGATCGATCACAATGGCGTAGGTGTATACACTCTATCTTCCTTTAAACCTTGAGAATAAAATTGCTTCATATCTCTCCTCCTTCCTGTACTATATCCTTATATACAACCTATGATTTATATACTACTACCACCACTAAATTAATTACTTCTATGAACCCGGTGTTCATCTTGTTGTGCTAACGAGGTATGGCAACTTGGACCGATGCATAAATGTGCCTGGTCCTACGTTGTAGCTGACTGACTGGGTAAGTAATGCAGTTGTTAGGAAACGAGTACTAGGTAGGGATGGCAAATCGATTGATGAATTAGTGAAACTTCATCAGTTGAGATGGTTGGGACATGTGTTACGTATGCCCGACCACCGACTGCCCCGACGTGCAATGCTTTATGGTGTAGGAGTAGGTTGGAAGAAAGCTAGGGGTAGCCAGATCAAAACGTGGCACAAATCAATGAAGTCACTGACAAGTGGACTGGGCCATGTTGGTAGGTGTAGACTACCTGGTTGGGATTCGCGAGATGACAGCAACCGATGGTTAGAGACCTTGAATGACATGGCTCAAAATCGTTTGCAATGGCGAAGGTGTATCCACTCTTTGTGTTCTACCAAATTCTAATCTTCTGAACTCCTCATGTCTTTATCTTTTTCTCTTTCCAAATTTATTTCACTGTACTATACTCCTTCAATAATTTCTTCAAACCCTAATCTTTTGGATTTCTGATTATACTCCTACTACTTCTACCACTATGGGATTTGAATCGACAACTGCATCTCTGTGCTAATGTGGTATGGCAACTCGAACTGATGTATGTACGTACGAAGTTCTACGTTGTGACTGACTGACTGACATGATATAAAGTTGTAGATAGTTAGGTTTGGTTAGAATCCAATCTTTTGACTATGTGGTTTAAAACTAAATAATAGTTATAATAAGTAGTCCCTAGTTTCAATGCTATTATTTAGTCTTAAACCACATAGTCAAAAGATTAGATTCTAACCAAACCTAACTATCTACAACTTTATTTCATGTCCAATACAACCAAACTACTAGGTCTATGTGCGCTAAAATAGCAATATGTCTCAAGTAGTTATGTGGTTTCCACCATTTTATTTACACTAATTTTTAAATTTAATTGATGTTTTTTAGTTGTAAACAATAAGTTTGCCTTGTCACTTGGTACCAAGTAAACATGAGTGAACTGACCAAAATGTTTACAACCTTTTACATTGGGATTTTTATCAGAAACAAGCATCATGAAGATGAACAACCGAGGTTTGAGTGAAACAATACTATGGAGTATATAAGTTAATGAATGTTAATACCGGTGCTTAAATAATTACCTTTCTCAGTTTTCTAAAGAAACTTATAGGACTTATTTGTCAACTAGCATTTAATTACTGGTAAACAGACCATTGACTTGGAAACCCCAAGATGACTATCATAAATACAAACTTAACAAAGATGACCAGGAGTTGAGATGTACAAAGGCGCTTACCAAATAGCTCGCCATTTGAAACATACTCCATTACCATACAGAGTAGTCGCTGAGTTTCCATAACCTGGAACTTATCACTACAAAGAATGGATTTACCTGATAAAGTTTCACAATATTTGAATGATGAAGCTCCTTTAAAATATCAGATTCTCTGTATATTTTTTTGAGATTTTCAGGACTTAGACGGGATTTGTCAATGATCTTTATTGCAACCTACGAAGTCAAAAGTGAGGGAACTAACATAAATTACGAAAATTCCAGTAATGGTGTGCTTGGCGAGTTTGACTGACGAAAATATCCCTTTCCCAATGGTTCTTTCAATAACATACGTACCCAACTTCGGTTTTGATGTATCCTGATGTTGGTCAGGGAAATTGGTAGTTGAGGCACCATCTATTGTTGAAGTCAACTCAGTGATGTTCGATTCCATATTATGGCGGTTAGTAACTTTTCTCGTACTACAACCAGGTGCACCGCATACACAAAAGTTCCCTGAATCCTGACAATAATCAGGCGATGTTCCGGATGCTACAGAACATTCAGTAGTACAGGACTGTCTATCAATCACTCCATTTAGGCCAATACGGCAATGTCCGCATGCGTTCATTTCTCTTGCAGATGACTAAACCCTGAAGTTTGCTCATGGGAATTATAATCCGAAGTAGTTGAAATGTGGACAATCATCTGGTTTCTCTAACCCATGAATTTGTGAAATATAGACCAAAACAAACACAAACTATGCAGCCGATATACGTCAGCAGATAAAGATTAATGAAATGGAAGGTTAAATTGGTCTCTAACGGAATGATTGGGACAAAGTATACGAGATTCTAACTGGACAGTGAAGAATTAACGGAAAGATAGGAGTTAAAATGAGTGGTCCAGTTCAACTTTAAACAAAGACGAAATAATCATAATGTTACCGACAGCACGTTGTGAAACAACAACCAAGATGACCTAGAAAAATCGGTAAAAATAACGATATTCTGGAAAGGGATTGACTAACAGAGTGGTATGACAGAAATGATAAACATTAATTTAGGTTTTAAGTGACAGGACCTCACAATTCACCAGTGCAACCCCGTCCTCCCAGCTAGACTCAATGAAGCCGCCAGATCTTCGAGATTCAGAGCACAAATTTCATTGAATGATTTAAACAAACGTACAAGGTGCTCTGTAATACATCAAGTATCCGGATATTTAAATGTATATTCGTCCTTTCATTCTTTTTTCGCTTACTAAGTAGATGATTACTGCATATTGAAGTGTAATTAACATTAGTGACTCCCTTTCAAGTGTTTGAATAATTCAAAGTCGTCTGTTATGGACGTGTCACTGCAGCACAACCCAATATAGCAGATGAAAAATATATATATCGGACGAAGGGACCCCGAAATTGCATATTAAACAACCAAAACACTTGTATTCAGGATTCGTTTCTCTTGCAGAAATTAACCGAAAGTGCCAGATGCAACTCCGCCTGTAGCTCCTCTGGGGGTTGCTGCCGGTCACAAGCCCGGGTAAACAAGGAGGGTTAGGCATGGGGTTAGCGACCCCATCCCGTAGAAAATCAACTCGCTAAAAAAACACTAACCACAAAAAATCATTCAAACCATTTAAACTCTGCCCTCCGAGTTGAAGGAATAATTATGACGTCTCATGATGAAAGCCGAGATCCTTCGGAAGTCATGAGACCGATGCACCTTCTTACAACCAGAGCGACAATTTTTATAGGTACATAGAATGTCCGAACAATGTGGGAGACCGGAAGAGTCTTCCAAATTTCTTCAGAAATGAGAAAATACATCCTGGAGGTTCTTGGAATCAGCGAAACACATTGGACGCAGCTTGGACAACAACGACTGTCTTCAGGGGAACTTCTGTTATACTCCGGTCAAGAAGAAGAAAATGCCCCACATACACAAGGAATTGCATTGATGCTGTCCAGAAAAGCACAAAATGCACTTATTGGATGGGAATCTCATGGACCAAGGATCATCAAAGCCTCCTTCAAAACAAAGAGAGAGGGCATTACAATGAACGTCATCCAATGCTATGCGCCTACCAACGACTACAATGAAGACGCTAAAGACCAATTCTACGATAGGCTGCAGTCGATCGTCGAGAAGTGCCCAACCAAGGACCTGACAATTCTGATGGGAGATCTCAATGCCAAGGTTGGAATGGACAACACTGGATACGAAGACGTCATGGGACGACATGGAATGACTGGGAGAAAGGAACGAAAATGGTGAGAAATTTGCAAACCTATGTGCCTTCAATAAACTGATCATAGGTGGCACCATATTCCCACATAAACATACACAAAGCCACTTGGATTTCACCGGATCACACTACACAGAATCAAATCGACCATATCTGCATCAACAAAAAGTTCAGGAGGACGATGGAGGATGTGAGAACCAGAAGAGGAGCTGATATAGCATCCGATCATCATTTGCTGGTCGCCAAGATGAAACTAAAACTCAAGAAGCACTGGACAACGGTGCGGACAACATCACAAAGTTTAATACGGCCTTTCTTCGAGATGCAGACAAACTCAAAAAATTCAACATAGCTCTCAGCAACAGGTTCCAGGCCTTACATGACCTACTCAATGAAGAGGGAACGACCATAGAGAGCAGCTGGAAAGGTATCAAGGAGGCAATCGTTTCAACATGTCAGGAGGTTCTGGGCCAAAAGAAGCACCATCACAAGGAATGGATCACTGTTGGTACACTGGATAAAATTGAAGAAAGGAGGAAGAAGAAGGCAGCAATCAATATCGGCCGAACCAGAGCGGAAAAAGCCAAGGCACAAGCCGAATACACAGAGGCAAACAAGCAAGTGAAGAGGAGCATCAGAACCGACAAACGTAAATATGTGGAAGATTTAGCGATGACAGCGGAAAAGGCTGCAAGAGAGGGAAACATGAGACAACTGTATGATACAACAAAGAAACTTGTTGGAAATTACCGTAAGCCAGAAAGACCAGTGAAAAGCAAGGAAGGCAAAGTAATCACCGACATTGAAGAACAACGACACAGGTGGGTAGAACACTTCAAAAACTCTTGAATCGACCAGCTCCACTGAACCCACCCAACATCGAAGCAGCAGCCACGGACCTCCCAATCGATATTGGCCCACCAACAATTGAAGAGATCAGCATGGCCATTAGACAAGTCAAGAGTGGCAAAGCAGCGGGATCAGACAACATCCCGGCAGAGGCACTGAAAGCAAATGTAACAGCAACTGCCAAGATACTCCACATCCTCTTCAGTAAGATTTGGGACGAAGAACATGTACCAACAGACTGGAAAGAAGGACTTCTGATCAAAATACCAAAGAAAGGTGATCTGAGCAATTGCGACAACTACAGGGGCATCACTCTCCTCTCAATACCAGAAAAAGTCTTCAACAGAGTATTGTTAAACAGGATGAAGGATTCCGTGGACGCCCAACTTCGAGATCAACAAGCTGGATTTCGTAAGGATAGATCGTGCACAGATCAAATCGCAACTCTACGTATCATTGTGGAGCAATCGATCGAATGGAATTCATCACTGTACATCAACTTCATCGACTACGAGAAGGCATTTGATAGCGTGGACAGGACGACACTATGGAGGCTTCTTCGACACTACGGCGTGCCTGAGAAAATAGTCAATATCATACGGAACTCCTATGATGGACTAAACTGCCAAATCGTCCACGGAGGACAACTCACCGACTCGTTTGAAGTAAAGATCGGTGTTAGACAAGGTTGCTTACTCTCACCCTTTCTCTTTCTCCTGGTCATCGACTGGATCATGAAGACGTCAACGACTGGAGGAAATCACGGGATACAGTGGAGAGGCAGGATGCAGCTTGACGATCTAGACTTCGCGGATGATCTGGCTCTTCTATCACAAACGCAACAACAAATGCAGGAGAAAACGACCAGTGTAGCAGCAGCCTCAGCAGCAGTAGGTCTCAATATAAACAAAGGGAAAGCAAGACTCTCCGATACAATACAATATGCACCAATCAAATTAAACTTGACGGAGAAGCTTTGGAGGATGTGGGAACCTTTACATATCTGGGCAGCATCATTGATGAACACGGTGGATCAGATGCAGATGTGAGGGCGAGGATCGGCAAAGCAAGAGCAGCATACTTACAACTGAAAAACATCTGGAGCTCAAAACAATTGTCAACCAACACCAAGGTTAGAATTTTCAATACAAATGTCAAGACAGTTCTATTGTATGGGGCGGAGACATGGAGAACTACGAAAGCAAAACCATCGGGTCGCTTTGCGAGCATGTCTGTTGATATATCTTAAAGCATTTTTCTTGAGCAAGTAAGTGGACTACGGTTTACGAAATTTACTTTTAAAGGGGCGGCAACAGTGAAGTGGTTAATAAATCCCAGAAATTAAACATTTTGCAATACTTTGACTTTGATTCTGGTTTAAATAGTTTTACTAAATATCTTTAGCTAAAGACGCTCAATCAGGCATATTTAGGTATGCTATGTCAGATTAGACTGCATGAACACTATACCTCCGCAGTCATTCATGTATAACTCTTTATCCCTCCGTTTTCGACTTCTGGGCCGCCTGGTATTGCGGATCATTGTAAAAGAAGAATTATTGTACAACACTGTTCTAAAACGCCATACACTTGACATCACCGATGATGAGTTCCGATTAGGTACAACACACCGAGCGGTACGCCTCAAATTTGTTCTTCTTTATGTTGTTTTATACATATTTTGATAGTTTGTGACATTCTCTAGTGTTTTAGACCGACACAACTGTAAAGTGAGATCGACAAACGAGCACACCGATGATAATGTGAAACGCTCACCACCATATTAACTTTCTTTGACCTTGTATGACTATGTCTCGTTTATCCGCCAATCACAATTTTATGTTTATTCTAAAACAATATTAGCCTTGGTAAGCAGAGATGGATGCACATATGCCAATTAGAGACTGACCAGTTGCAGTCCTAAACACATCGATGGGAAGATCCAAACAAACAATACTAAGTGAATTCAATATTAGCCTTGTTGATTAATTTTTCCTATTCTCCAGTTACTGTTCGGTACGTCATTTATGTCTCTTCTTTTTCCTATGTAACAGACTGTACTGTTTAATTGCATACTAATGTTGCTAATTTACGTTTTAGAAAAAGATAAAGTTTATTAAGCCAAACAGCTTACTTGTTCTGACTTCGGCGAAACCAAGACTCTGTACTCGACAGTCTAGAAAATAGCTTAAGTTTGCACCTGTAGGAAATTGCTTCCTACAACAACCACTCTTTCACCAAACATCATGCATGGTGGATCCTGATGTTCATACTGTAGTGGCGTGCTTCGTTAATCGATTGTCTCGATAACCGTTATTATATCAGTTTGAACGGTGTTTAATATCAGAAGACAAAGGGAAGCGGCAACTACATTTTTATTGACAAATAACATAGGCTAGAAGGCAATGAGCACATGAGCAAATGTTAGCGAGCGAAGTAAAAATGACATGCATGGGAGATGGCTGGTGAGCCAGCTTGAGAGCGAGGCAAAAGATGATGCGTATTGGAGATGGCTGGAAAACCAACTCGATTTAAGCAAGCGTCATTCAATATTTATAGTCAGACAAAAATGAGTGACAGACATACGATGAATAAAATACGAAGTGTACACATATATGCTCATGTAAAAGTATAGTCAAGGTTAATAAGCAAATGATTAAGAAGATTAAAATATGACTCATAACGGATAGTCGAATTGGCTTGGCCAGCAACTAGAATAAAGTATATGGGCTTAACATATAAAGTGATACTACAATACAGCTATTTCATGTCACCATCAAATTTCCTAGACGGCCAACCGTGGGTGACATAGCTCATCGTCATCTTGATAATGGTGTCATTTGTGGACGTGTTTTGTATGTCTGTTGCAGACACTGGCAGTGCCTGTATTATTGCTGTCCAATGACATTTCACGTGATCTTTCGCTGACAGAGATGCGAATACCATGTTTTCCTTAGTCGCCAAATGATCATTAATGAGTCGTGATATGACATCTGCGTGGCCGAATTGTTGAGTGCGTCGGTATTGGATCTCAAAATCATATCCCAAGAGTACGAAAGCACATCGCTGAAGATG